CCCCCCCCGCCTTCAACCAGCAGAGCCAGAGGCTATAAAGCCAGCGTCTGACCAGGACAGGTCTGGGCTCAAAGCCCTTCAAGGGCTCCCCATTACATTGAGAGCAAAGCCCAAACCATGGTCTAGTCTACACAGCTCTCCCTGACCTCCTGATCCATCTGCCTTCAACTCTGCCTCCTCCCCTTGCTCATGCATTCCAGCGACACTGACCACCTTTCATTACTTGTCTCAGGGCCTTTGCACTGGCTGCCTCCCCTGCCTGAAATGCTCCTCCCCCAGACAGCTGCTTGACTCATTTCCTCCCCTATTTTAAATGACACCCCCTCACCCGCACTGCCACCCCTTTCCTGCTCACATGCAAGATGCTAGCCCAGGCATCATGATCCTGAGATGCTTATTGGGAAAGAGCCGATTTCTGCAAAAGCAGGTTAAGTCATGTTGTAGCCAAGCTGCTCTGGGCAGCTAAAAATCGGCCCCGGTCACTGGGTTTGAAGGACACCAGAGAAGCTTGGCCAGTTTCCTCCCCCAAAAACTTCTGTGTACTGATCAGTGGACACCAGGCACGAAAGGCCGCCCTCCTGGGCATTTCTCGGCTTCGGCCTCATCTGCCAAGCTGGGTGGCAGGGTTGCTCAGGCTTCACGAGCCCTGGAAAGGCATCCGGGTCCTTTTCTAGAAAGGCTATGCAAGTGGCCAGCACCTAACTGAGGTACTCTTATAGGGAGAGGCAGGAACTTCTAACCACTGCGAGTGTTTGCAAACCTCATACCCAGCCAAGTCCTCACTGTTCCAGGGAGCGCTGTCACCAACGGGCATGTCAGAACCCTGTTTTGGGAATGGCTTTTATATGGAACCACTGGCTAGGAAAAGAGGTTACAACCCCCCCAGTCAGCCACATTCGAAGTACAAGATGAGTATGAAGACATCTGTGAGGGAAGACATTTACTCTGGCCCATGAGGAACGGAGATGAGGCAGCAGGCTGCTCTGGGTCCGGAGGGACACAAGCTACTGGCCTCAGCGACGATGGCCTTGGACAGCGAGTGGAAGACTGAAAAGGAGCCCACTTCTTTTTAGATATATGTATTTACTAGAGGCCCGGTGCACAAAATTCATGGACAGGAGGGGTCCCCTCAGCCCAGCCTGAACCCTCTCCAATCTGGGACCCCGTGGGGGATGTCCGACTGCTGTTCGGGCCTAAACCGGCAGTTGGACATCCCTCTCACAATCCTGGACGCTGGCTCCTAATCGCTCACCTGCCTGCCTTCCTGATCGCCCCCAACTGCCCCCTCCCTGCCGGCCTGGTCGCTCCTAACTGCCCCCCTGTCAGCCTAATTGCCCCCA